TGGCTGCCAGGGTGGGTGCAGGAGTACCCACACCCACACCCACACCCAAGCAGGGTTTCAGCACATTATTCATCAGTTTTTCAGGTGTGCCCTGCTAGGGTCCTGGTCTCCACTGATTGGTCAGTCAGAGGACGGAGGGGGGGGGGTCTTCAGTCACTGCAGTTGGTTCTGGCATGGCCCACCTGGTTTTGCTGCTTTACTGGGCCTGGAGCTGAAATACCACTGAGGCCTAGATGTTATCTCCAGGGAGGGAAGGCCAGGGGAGGAGAGGTTACTCTGGGGGTGGGCTCCTTGTTTCCCCCCCAGCTAGTCCCCCAGGGACTTCCACCCTGGTGACCTCACCTGGCTGTAAATTGCTTGGCCATTGTGTTCGGCTATCTGCCTCAGTTTCCCTATTCCACTTGCCAAAAAGTTTTCCTAGTTTCTCACTATTCTGCCTCAATTCTGCAGTTGTCATGTCATTACAGCTTTGGATATTTTGTTTTGCCTTTTTGAAGCAGGGAAAGAGTTTTCAAATGTTCTCAACTAGGTCCTCCTCCCAACCCCCAGTCTATGAGTGGGGTGTGTCTGCCTAACAGTCTTTCTGTAAATTTGGTTCACTCGTCCTGCAAAGGGCCCAGAGGCATGGATTTTCCAGTCCTGGAATGTTGCAGTGCAAGCCTGTGGGCAGGGAACTCGGACCTCGGTTCTCTACCTCCACTGTGGAAAGGAAGAGGATGAAGGGAATTCCAAGGGAAAGAAGAACAGGAACTTCAGGCAGGGTGTGGGGTGTCTGAAACTGAAAATCGAAAGAGACCCAATAAGTACCCACTCTCCTGCTTAAGCTGGACTGAGTGTTGTTCCCAAGGGCCTGATTCATCTAATTGAGTCGGGGGGGGGGGGGGGGGGGGGGTAGAGGCGGGGCTGCTGGTGGAGAGGATGTTCCTGGCGTGGGCACAGGAGCCGGGAAGGGGAAGAGTAGGAGGCTCCACACACAGGAGGGAGTGAGGGAACTGACATGCACTGTGCGATCCTGTGTAAAGGGTCACACGCCCACAGTGACAGCGAGCGGGGCAGTATCATCGTGCACGTTTAATAGATGAGGAAACGGAAGTGCTGGACAATTGGGAACATCTGCCCAGGGTTGCTTGGTGAAAAAGTGGCCAATCTGGATTCAAAATCCAGAGCTCCTCATGCTCTTTCCTTTCATTCAGCTGATGTCAGGCCTTTAGCAAGAAACTGAGGGAGGGGATCAAGACGGGCATTGAAATGTCCAGAAACTACGCAGGAAAAGTTGCTAGATGTGGTTAGATACAAATAAAAAATATTTGTGTGGTCAAAAATAAATCACCATAAACAAGGTTGACATATGAACAAATATATACATATAAGTTTTTACATGTCAAATAGCATAAGAATCTATAAGGTTTATGATTTACATGTTATATATTTATGTATGTTTGAAATTTATTTACATGATTCACATATAATCCCCAGCTCATAAGGTATGTTTCAAAATAACTACTGAGCAATGCTCACTTTTAAGAAATTTAATGATAATTTTTAAATTGTATGGGTATACTTCTGGAGCAATGTTTCTCAAATGAAGGTGATTTTGACCCCCCTGGGGACCTTTGGCAATATCTGGAGACACTTACTGATTGTCAAATTGGGGTGGTGATATTGCCCCTGCTATTTGTAGGTAGAGGCTTGTGCTTCTAAACATCCACAGGACAGCCCCCAGGACCAACAGATATTCGGTCCAAAAGGTCAGTTGCACGGAGGTTGGGAAGCCCTGCTCTGGAGGTAGACAGCTGTTACTCTGAGTTGATGAAGGTGTAGATGGTACCCCATCTTTCCAGGTGCTGCTCCTTGACTCCTCTTTCTTCCCATCCTTCCCTCTTCTCCTTCTCTTCCCTCTCCCTTCCCCTCCAATTCCACATCCAATCCACACCAAATCCCGTAGGTTTCACCTTCAAAATATAACCTGAATGTCAACAACTCTGACCACTGTTACCATAGGTAGGTGATGTTGTTTAGGACAAGTCCTGTCTTTCATCTGCCCAAGATCCTTCAGCACATTCAGGGGACAAGCCACAGACCTAACCACAACCCACAGGTCCTAATGACCCTTCTACCCTCCCTCTCCTGCTCTATCCCGGGACTTCCTGTGGCTCACACAGCCCCCTAGGCAGGCTCCCTCCCAGGGCCTATCTACCTGAATCCTTCCTTCTTTCCCCAACAACCACATATTTAATTCCTTGCCTGGGACTGTTGCTCCATGGAAACTTCCTCATTTAAACTATTTATATATTTAAAGTTGACCCCCCTGCATTCATTCTCAGGCCTCATTCTCTATCCATCTCTCTGCTCCATTTTTGTCCATCTAACACTTAATCATTTAAGACACTCTGTATTTTGCTTGTTTGTTTTATTGGCTGTTTCTCTTACTGCTCTATCCCTATATTAGGGCTAAATGCTTCAGTTCCTAGATAGGCAGGTTTGTTTGTTCATTTTTTAAGGAAAGTAATTTAAAAGGTAGAATTGTTCTACAGCAAAGTACCTAGAAATGCTCCCAGGTTAACTTTGCAAAATTCTTGAGAAGGTACCCTATTTTCTTATTTCTTTTAACTGTAGACAGACCCTGAATTGCTCATTTTGCATCTTTTTGAAACATAAACTACATAATTTTCTTGGCCTAAGGTACATTTCATCTAGCAATTGGAAAAAGGATTACCCTGTTAGGCCAGTGGTTTAAATCCAGGCAAAATAAACATCAAACTTGGCATTAAGTAGCTCGTTTAAACAGACTCTTAACCCTAAGCCCACCTCCTTCTTCAGTATTTCTTCCTGAATATGAATAAGGCCATTGACAGTCTTTAAGAAACTTTTTTAGGAGAAGTGGAAATTTGATTTGGAGACATTCTCCTGGTTAAGTTCAGTTTTTTTTTTCAAGTGCTGTCCAATTTTTTAAAAAGTTTAAACAAACTTGCCAAGTGAATTCTACATGCTGGGCACTGGGCTTGGTGCGGGACAGTCCCTCCCTTCCCCAAACCCGGCTCTGATTGCAGCAGCAGTTTTTCAAGTGCAGACAACATTTGGTCAATCAACAAATGTATTTGAATACACGTTGATTATGTTCCAGCCGGGGACACCTGGGAGACACCAGGGAACAAAACACAAAGACCCCACTCCCATGGGCTTACATTCCCATATTTATTGAATGATGGAGTGTGTTGAGAAAAGTGTAGTGAGCTGAATGGGCCACAGAATTAGCTTAGATCATGCTCCCTGTCCCCAGGGAGTTGTTAAATTACTACAGGAGATAACAGCAAGATAGTGGCAAATAAAATGAGCCACTTAGAAATTCTCACAGGCAAAACTGCGGGGAAGAGGCTGAGAAGGTAGTGGAAATGGAGGGAAAGGAACAGGAAAGGGCTCAGCAGAGGGGCAGGGCTTGGAGGAAGGGTGCCTGGGCTGACAGATGGAATTACAAGGCCCACGCACAGGGACGCAGACTGGAACTGGGGGACTTTTCCAGTAAGGCCAGCTCAGTGAGTGAGGGTGTGGAGTGTGGCTTGTTGAGATGTGTTCGCGAGACATCACTTCTGGCCTCACCAGGATGGTGAATTCATCAATTCTTTCCCGACTCAAAGCTTCCTTGAGCAACTATGTCGTGCTAGATACTCTTCTCCAGGCACGGTGGTGAGCAAAACAGAACAAGTCCCTCCTGGAGAGGAAGACTGCACAGTTAAACATGTGAATAAACTTTAAGTTAGAGGCAAGAAAAATAAAGCAGGATAGGACCATAAAGGGGAAGGGGGCCGGAAAGGCTTGTAAAAGGGTGGTAAGTGTGTGTGGGAGCGGAGCAGACGGTGGTGGGCAGAGTTCCAACTGCCTGATTAGGAAACAGGGAGCGTGGCAGGTTTCCGAACAGAGAAGCAGTGGTTTGGAAAGGTAGTCTAACAGTAACCTTCCACGCATGAGATGCGCAGTGGGTGAGATGCCTTCACACCTCTGCCCCGTCCGAGTATCACAGCGCTCCCCTAAGTGGGCCACGGATCCCATTCCCTTTCTACCGAAAACCCGCCAGGACGCACTGTGGCCGCAGCACACATTGCCTACCGTTGTTCAAACCAGAGCTCTGACTTCTACATCAGCATTCTCTAAAGTAAATAACAAATCCCACACGCTGAATATTTTAGGAGCATTTCAAGGTTTGCTCTATTAAGAGGAAAGAATTTGCTGATAGTCATTGCAGCTGCCCAAGTCAAATTTTCACTCTGAAGGTTTAAATGGCAAAGGCTGTCCATTTTTCAGATTTAATATAGCATAAACTTTTTCGGTGAAAATTAACAAAACAAACAATAAAAACGACACTAGGAACCAATCCTTCTGCAGTCTCCCCTCTTCCCCAGCCTTCTAACCATTAACAGTCAGTTAGGATGGGGTTTCACAAATGCTCACTTAAGGCAAACTTTTACAATTACCTTGACTAGCGACTACATTTGCATACACTCAGATAAGGGAAGCGACACAGCTGGGAAAGCGCTGGGTGGACTGGGTTGGCAAGGGGACCTCAGGGATTTGGGGTCACCAGTGCCCGGGAACCTTGGGGGTCGCTCAGGAGCGCGTCCCTGGGGTCTGAATAGGTAGGAAAGGGTGTGAGAGGGACGTGGAAAGTGAAAGATTGGTGCCCCGGCAGACGGCCATAGGGGAGTGGGGGAGGGTGGGAGGTCGCCGAGGAGTCAGGGCTGGGCCGGGGGCGTGGGAGCGGGCAGGGCGGGGCAAGCTGGGAGGCGGGGCGGGAAGGGGCCAGGGATGGCCTGGAGGAGGGGAGGGGAGGGCTCGGGGCGATGCCGGGTGGAGTGCGCGACCGCTGTGGGAGGTGGGGATGGCGGGGATTGTCCAGAGGGAAGTGGGGGGAGGGGCCGGGAGGCAGAGCCAGGAGGGGGCGGGGCCTGGGCGGGGCCGCGCCGGGGCCTGGGCGGGGCCTGGGCGGGGCCGGGGGCGCCCGGGACTGGCGCCCAGGACGAAAGCCTGTTTGAGTCCTTCAGTGTTGCTCTGGCGCGGACACGCGCTTCTTCGTGCGCGGTTCCGGGCTTCGAGGCAGGAAAGTCCGCACGTTTGGGGTCCCCGCGAATCCGGATCCCTGTTCGTCCCGAGTCCAAGCAGCCTCGGGTCGGAGCCGTCTCGCCGCCGGTGTGCAGTCGCTCCAGCTGAGCCCGGAGCACACGGGGCCGACGGGCGTGGGGGTGAGGAGCGGGGTTTTCTGCAGGAAGATGAGGAAGCCCGACGGGAAGATCGTGCTTTTGGGCGACATGAACGTGGGAAAGACGTCGCTGCTGCAGAGGTACATGGAGCGGCGCTTCGCGGACACGGTGAGCACGGTGGGCGGCGCCTTCTACCTGAAGCAGTGGCGCTCCTACAATATCTCCATTTGGGACACCGCAGGTGAGGACTGGCGCTGCCTGGACCCACACGGTCCTGGAGCTCCGCAGGGACGGGGGTGGGTGGGTGGGAGGGGGCGTCCCTGCCCCAGAGTATCGTCCCTGGGGCCGAGGTCCTACGGGGCAGGCCTTCCGGGTTATGCACGGGGTCCCTCCCTTCCACGGCAGGTGAGCCCATCTCAGGGATCAGGCCCCCAGTCACAGTGCAGGGTCACCGGTCACTCTTCTCTTTTTCCGCTTGTTCTCTTTTGCTGGTTGAGAAACTCTTTTTGTTCAGCTACTTGGTGCATTTAGTGACAATCCAGTTGATGCTTAAAAAGTACCCCTGGCTCCAAACAGAAGACTTGTGTCACTTGTGTACCCTATGGCCATGTCTGGCTCCTGTGGCAGTGTCTGGCTCCAGAGTGTCATGGGCCTGCACGGAGCCTGCTAGTGATAACCAGATTCAATCACAGATATGTCTCATTTGATATCCACAACCACCTTGAGGGGTGAGCAAAGCTAGTATAATTACCCCCTTTTTTACAAAACAGGAAACTGAGGCACGGAGCCTTCTTTTACAAGGTTTAGTCAGGAAAGCAGGAAAGAGAACTGAAGTGTCCTCACTTAGTCCTGGGCATATCTGCATTTTCTAGTTTCTTTATCATGTGCTTGATCTTGGCTCATATATATTCTGGAGCTTCAAATGATTTTCTGTGGCAGCATTTTTATGATAGGTAATGAATTATTTTTAGTGTGCGTAGTAGTTGTGATTTTTCAAAAGTACGACTCAGAAGATCTTAATTCAAGCTTTCAGTTTAACTGCAGAATTACAATGGCAATTGTAGTGTTACAATAGGATATACTTCCTTCCCCATGAAAAAGATCTTGTAAGTAAATTAAAAAAGATAGTATGGCATGTTTTCAATGAATATTCTTTTTAGATCCTGAAACTTTAAGGTCTGACTTTTAATGTCAGCACTTTATAAGTGATGTAAATACCCAAAGATCCTGTCTAGAATTTTAAAATTGCCAACTTGGGTGCACCAGTCTGCTAAATAAATAAGATTTTAACTAAGTCTCTATTCAAAATGGAATTAATGACATCCACCAAAGTATATCTACTGCTCTTCCCTCCTTTGTTTTATTGCTGTCTTTTTTGTTACGATGGCAGTTAATGTCTTGACTAGTTTATTAAAATCATGCTGTAGAAACAGCATCTTCCTTGCTCTTTCCTCCAGCTCAAGGCTGCACAGTGAGGTTGTAAGATCCTTGACTACTTAAGCTGCCACTCCAGCACTAGGCGTTTGGTAGCCATGGAACACAGTCTCTAGAAGTCAAATCAAATCAAATTAACACGACTTGTCTGCCTGTTTTGGACAAGGCTGACCCTTTTGCTCCTTTTGTTGACTTGCTGGACTTCACTGCTGTCCTGGTTTATAGGAGGATAATGCAGGAGTGGTATTGGGGACCCAAACCAAGAGCCCTGTTGTGGCCATGATGTGGCCACATGATGTGGGAAACCTGCCCTTTCCCATGAGGTGTGGAGTTTCTAGAATGGGAGCTGACCTTGGTTGACATCTTCAGCATCTATGGTATGAAGTAGCAGTATAATTTTGCTTGGCCACTTTCTTCTTCAGTGACAAGGACATGATACAGCCAGAATCTTGATCATCAGAGGATTTTGTAATACAGCTAATGAGATATCCTGGTTGCTTTGTTGGGTTCCCTGGGGCTGCGATTCATTTCCTGTTTGCTTAAGCAGCTGCCTAGCTTCTTAGCTGCCTTCTTGTTCCTGGAACCCTGGAGTGTGAGCTCAGTCAGGCTCCTGGGGCCATGGGGGCAGCCAGGCCCCTTCTCTGCACTGCTGGCCTCCTGTGTATACGTGCTTAGGGTAACCGAGGCTCTGGGTCAGCAGTCGCATAGGCTACCACTGTGCCTGCTCCCAGTGACTGTGTGGTCCTGGGTAACCTGGAGGGAAAGGAGAGCTATGAATAGATACCTTTTCAGTAATCCCTGTTGGAAATTCAAAAGTTTAACTTTTCAGGGATGCTACTTTTTTTCCTCCTTTTGTCTCGCTCTTTCTTTCCACTCTACAGACATTGTTTTTAAAGTTGTGTTCCTTTAAATGTTCATAACTGAGGCAGAAGGATGAGAACCAGGTAGAGAATGAGTTGTTTTTCATTGCTGCCCTTGGTTGCATGGAGTGGCTGAGGTGGGAGTGTGGGGGTGTGGAAGGTGTTAGGTTTTTTAATAGTGAAAGCGGTAGTAAGGGGTCAGAGTTTTTCTTTAACTCTTGGCTTGTCCTTTCAAAAAACAAAGTATCTGGCTGCTTGAAGCCTGCAGGGCAGGTGAGCTAGAAAGGGAAGGAGATTTGCTAGGCTGATAAGTCGGATTTTACTTGATCCACAAGATTCCTTCAGAGGGAGGTATGGGGTTTGCACGTTAGAGATGGGGAGACAGAACTGGTAGAAGATGACTCGTTCTGTCGGGTGCAGGGAATCTCCTTCATTGCTCCGCCCCTTGCCTAGTTGGGCTGACAGATGTGGGGCAGTCACCACATATGGTTTGATAAGTGCCAGAAAAAAAAGGAGGTTGCCCTGAGACAAGCAGGAACCCTGCCTTGACTGGTGTGGCTTGGTGGGTTTCCCATGAACCGAAAGGTTCATGGTTCGATTCCCTGTCAGGGCACATGCCTGGGTTTTGGGCCAGGTTCCCAGCTGGGGAGCCCGCAAGAGGCAACCGATCAATGTTCCTCTCATACAACACACATCGATATTTCTCTCCCTCTTTTTCTCACTCCCTTCTCCTCTTTCTAAAAATAAATACAGGAATCTTTAAAAAGAAAGAAAGAGCCCCAGTTGAACTTTCCACTCCCCCTGCTCTGTCAGTCCTAAAGTTCGCTGAGCAGTCTAAAAAAGATGTTGCCCATTGTGCAGCAAATATAAACTGAGCACTGCCCCAGGCTCCGTTCTGCAACAGAGATTTTCAACCTTCATCATCTCACGGCACACATAAACTGATTACTAAAATGCTGCAGCACACCAAAAAATATGTTTTTTTGCAGATCTGACAAAGAGGTATAATTTTGATTCGTTCACACTGGATGGCTATTACTGTGTTGGCTGTTGTCCTTTCTTTTTTCATTTGACAATCTAAGGGGAAAGAGGTAGTGCCCCTGACTAAATCATCAGGTGTTACGTGGTTTAAAGTTTCTTGGGGCCCGCCGGCTGAAAATCCCTCTTCTACAGCAATGACAAGCTAGCTGGGGTCCCTCTTCTACAGCAATGACAAGCTAGCTGGGGTCCCTCTTCTACAGCAATGACAAGCTAGCTGGGGTCTCTGTTCCATGAGCTGGAAGCTCTAGAGGGGGGAGAGGGCCACAAGGAAAGAAGTGGTATGATTTCACACCTGATCGTTGTTTTGAAGAAAACGCAACAGGGTCATGAGAAAGTGACAGTGTGCCTTAACAGATCCCCTCACCAGGGCCCTGGAAGGCTTGACACCCCTCCTCGTTCATCCCTCACTTCCCAAGGCTGCAGTCCCTGACAGTAGGTTGATGTGAGTTAAAGTTGCATCGTCAGTATCTGTCTCAGGAAGACCATTTTTCTGACAATATATCTCCTTCCCTTCAGTTTCAGTAACATGTTCCTCATTTCCACCCGAGCCCTCCTCATCCATATTTCTGCCTGTAGTCTGTTCATGCCCATTGAGGGATTCTCTAAGACGATGCTGCTTTTCTCTTCCATGTTCCCCACGGAGCTTTCACTAGCAGAGTTCTTAACATCCATATTTCTCCTAACAGCCTGTTCAAGGCAATTTACACTTTTCTTACTGTGCTTCTCGAACTCTTCCAGCCTCCGACCAGGCCCAGTTCCAAAGGCACGTCCACATTTGCCACAGCAGCACCCCACTCCCAGTATAAAAATCTGTTTTAGTTTCCTGCTGCTGCTGTAACAAATTATCACAAGTGTAGTGGCTTTAAAACACCTGGGTTAGATGTCCCAGTGGGGGTCCCTGGCAAGCATCAGGGTGTCCGCAGGACTGCTCTTTCCTGGAGGCTCTTGGGAGGAACCTGTCTCCCGGCCTGTTCCAGCCTCTGGAGCCCACCCACATCCTGTGATTCCTTTCTCTTTTTTTAAAAAAATTTTTTATTTAAAAAAAATTCTCACCCAAGGATATGGTTTTTAAAAACTGATTTTAAAGAGAGAGGAAGGGAGAGAGGGAGAGAAACATTGATCAGCTGCCTGCTGCATGTGCCCCATCCAAGGACTGAACCAGCAACCTAGGAATGTGCCCTGACCTGGGATCGAACCCGCCAGCTCTTGGTGCACAGGACAGCCCTCCAACCAGCTGAGCCACCTGGTCAGGGTGGTGTCCCATGGTTTCCTCATCTCCCAATGTCGAAGCCAGCAATGGCCGGTTGAGTCTTTCCATCATCAGGTCACTTGGACCTTGACCGCCAGGCCTCCCTCTCCAACATTTATTTATTTGTTAAACCTTTAATACAGAACTTTATTAGAGGAGGGGTTGTAGGCCCCAGAGGATAGGAAAGGTGGCCCTGGAGAGTTGAGGGAGCCTTGAGGAGGGGTACAGATGGCTGGGAACATCTGTATCTGTCAGGGGTAGAGGGCCAAAGGGCCAGGATCTCAGAAGCGGCCGTGTCAGTGGTTTGGGGACTGTTACTGGTTTTTTCCTTGGGGACCAGGTGGATATTGGATATCGTCACTCACAGAGTTGCTGCTGTGGTTTTGGAAGATGAGTTGCAGGTGCATGATGTTGCAGAAGCCACGATGGTACATTCTTCCATCTCATACAGCCAATGGCATTTCTCCTGGAAGTCGGTGATAAGAGACAGCTCGGCACGCACAGCCTGCCCACTGAACCAGAGGTTACTGAGTTCAGTCACTGCCTGCTTGGCATCCTTGTTGCACCAAATTTGACATAGACATTGCCCATGAGGTGGTCCCCCAAGTTGTTGCACATATCCATCTCTTCAGTCGCCCTGTACTTCTGCAGTTCTGT